CGAGCTCACAACTTCTTATATGGGAGTCCAACACAGGTGACTAGTTATTTAGGTCAAATTTTATCAAATAATTTTGTTAGATAGATGCCTCAAAAGTTAAGTCTAATATCATGTGTAATATTGATTGTTAATTAGTTATAACGTTTTGTGTAGTGGTGTTTGATGTAATAAAATATTTGACCATGCATTACTGTAAAAATATGTACAAAATTGAGTGCCTCCTCAAGTCCTCATTAGATAAGTTTTTTTTTTTTTTTTTTTTTTTTTTTTTTTTTTTTTTTTTTAAGAGAAGGAGATACTCACATATACAAACTACTACATCAAAAGTTATCATAAGTCTCCCTTGAATCCATCACTTCCCATATAAGAAAGCAACTCGATATCAATGGACCACAAAGTACTTTATTCCTCATACATAAGTTATGCAAAGTTTCTACATAATTTTAGGAATATCTTGTGTTTTATTTTTATTTTTTTATTAGAGATAAAGTACAAATAAGCCACTGAACTATTTGAAAAACAGCAATTAAGCCATCGAACTCAAATAACCCTCAAATAAGCCATTGAACCCGGGAAAAAAGAGTAAATAAGCCATTGAACCCTAAAAAAAAGAGCAATTAACATTTTTTACAGGTTAACTCCATGTTTTGCTGATTGGATTGCCAAATGTTTATTTTATTTACGTTTATTATTATTATTATCATTTTTATTAATATTATCCACTTGGATAGTATTATATTTTAAAGTAATTATAATCAAAATAGTTTTGTCTTGTCGAGATTTGATTTATTTATTTATTATTATTTTTTCACTGGATCTTTTGTTTTAAAAATAATAATAAATAAATAAATTAGATCTAGACAAAACAAAACTACTTTGATTATAATTACTTTAAGATATATTACTATGTAGCCATGTAGGTGGATTATAATAATAAAAAAAACGTAAATAAAATAAACATTTGGCAATCCAATCAGCAAAAACTTGGAGTTAACTTGTTAAAAATGATAATTGCTCTTTTTTTCCGGGTTCAATGGCTTATTTGGGGATTATTTGAGTTTGATGGCTTAATTACTTTTTCCCAAATAGTACAGTGGCTTATTTGTACTTTATCCCTTTTTATTATTATTATTTTTTTCAAATCTCACTACAAATTACCACATCAAGTAGTACAGTGACAAAAAATGAATGATTTTTGTACAGGCATCTAGCATTTTTCTTTTTTTCTTTTTTTTTATATTAATTTTCTAATAATTTTTTTTGAATGCTAGAAAAAGTGGATGGAAATTAGCATTTTCTAGCGATGTTTAGTTATGCCCTGTTTGGTAACATAGTTAGTTTATTAACTAACTTTGATTTATTTGACCACTATTAGTTGTTTGACTTGGTTAAACAATTAATATAAGTACGTGTTTGATTAATTAGTTTTTTGTAGTAACTTATTGCTCCAAAATGCTAAAAAAAATTTTAATCAACGCATGTAATAAGCTATCAGCTAACAACTAATTTACCAAACACTTTTCTACAATCCGCTAATATTATTAACTAATCAAACACACTAACCCAATCAGCTAACAGCTATTTACCAAACACCCCATTATGTTCATTATTTTAGTGATTAATTTTACTAAATCTTGATACTTTTAAATTTAATTTTATATATATATATATATATATATATATATATATATGTATGTATATATGTATATGTATATGTATGTATAATAATCAAAAGGTGTTAATTAAGTATTATTCATATAGCAACATTTATGATATTTAACTTTGAGACTTAATTAACAAACTTATAAACCACTTTACACTGAACTAAACTGCAAAGGAGTTGAGATATTGTTTTCTCAAATTCAAATTCGTGGGGTGATTTAAGTTGATTTATCTTCTTGCAGTCTTTACCAACTAGTGTTATAACTTATAAGGCAGGATTATCAAATGTATAACTTTAAGTAGTGGTTACATGTTTTTCTCTCATCACCTAAAAAGATGCAAATTAAAGGAGTTGAGAGATTTTTTTTACTCAAACTAATTATATGGTTATGATGATTTAGATTTATTATTATCAACTAGTTACCATATGCACATTGCGCGAATAGTCTGATGTTTAATGTGTATTTTTAATTAATGTTTCAGAATTTATTAAAGTATCATTCGATATCTTGGCGTATATCAATTCACGATTATCAAATTTTTCATAAAAGTAAATATTTCAAAAATGTATAACTATGACTTGTGGCAGAAATGTTGGATTAACTGGTGCAATAACAATTTTAGAGGGAAGCGTGCACCCTAACTGGATAGTACCCTAAGCATAGTTTTGCAACCCAAATTCCTATTAATTGGCGTGATCCATGCTTCTTCTTGTTGCCACTTCTGCCAGAAATGAATTCTTGATTTGATCTAGTCCCCTGGTGTGCTTCGCTGCAATTTTAGTGTCTTGGCGTAGCGCACCTTCAAAAGCAGAACCATATCCTCATTCTCCAAAAAAAAAAAAAAAAAAAACAATGATAATAGGTCAATTCTCAATGCGCGATTCTAATTAATTTGTCAAAGTTCATGTTAAATTTTATATTGTATTTTTTTAATACACTTTGACATATTCATAGTATATGTTTAACAATTATGTCAATTTTAATTGGCATGAAGTTCGAACCTTAAACCTTCCTTATGAAAATCAATGAGTAAGTTAATAATAATAAATAGTTAATAGGATATTCTTTTATTAAAGTTTACATGGACAATAATGGACAATAAGAAAAATAAGAAAAATAATTAAAAATACTAAAATTCAAATAATATGAACTATTCATTATTTCAACAAACAATTACGTCAACATTTTTTTAATTCTTGTTAGGGGTCTAACTTTATTGACTCTTATTAGATTTGTAGATTAATAATAATAATATTATTATTATTATTATTAATTTTAGTGGTGTTGACTTTTTAGACATAATAATAATAAAATATTTTTTTGTGGCTGTTATTGAGAACCGTTTCTTTAAAATTGTTACACTTGTTTAAAATTGTTACACTGTCACTATTAAATGAGGCTTTGGAAGGAATAAGAAATCTCTTTTATTTAGTGTAAGGTGTTGTGAATTCAAACCTCTAATTAATATGAGTTGACGAGCTACTCCTCTTACAATATGTGTGCTAAAAAATTAACATAAAAACCCATTATAATTGATCAGATTAACAAATTAAAGTATATGATGTTGATTAACAGATCTGATTAACAAATTAAAGTATATGATGTTGATTAACATTAATGTTACTTCTGAGTAAACATTAACATTAATGTTACTTAATTATACCGATTACAAGTTTTAATATTTGGGCACTGTTTGCAAGTTGGGTTGTTTCTTATCGTGATGTTGTGCACTACCAGGGAACGACGTGACATTAATGTTGTTTCCACTAACAACAATAATCCACATAGCTTGCACCAAATCCATCACTCATTCTGTGTTGTGCACCCTTGTTAACTTCCTAACCGGGATTTAACTGTAATTACCTTCAGTCAAATTGGTCAGTGATAGTCATAGCTATGTTCAACTTCTCGTGATAGCCTAGCTAGGTTGGTTTTAGTTTATCTTCTTGTGATTTTTCGCTGGCTAGAGTTATAAGCCAAGACGTTATTTTACTAATTTAAAAATACATGTACTAAGCCCTCTTGGAACTTAGCATAGTAATTTGTCACCTGACTTGATGTCATGATTAAAGGCGGCAATGATGGAAAATGTATGTGGATTGGATCCTTTATGGACGATCAATGAGTTGATTGTGTGACTCACGATTTATATTTACAGCGGTTAGGATTAGTCCGACAAATCAAATGGAATCACCTAAAATTAAAAAAAAAAAAATGCATGTTGTAATTTAATTCGATAGTAACGTGCCATGCCTATACTTAGATTTATAATGTACAAGTTGTACAGTTGTACGTAGTTAATACTGAGAAATCAACATCAAATTTGGTGAGTTGTAATATGTTTTTGTATTGATGGATTAATTAAAAAGAAAAGTTGTAAATGAAAATGATGAGTGAACTACATGTATCCACGCAATAGGATTTTATTTTCCCAGTAACAATGTCATTGAAATCATTAAATTGAACACCTACTACTAGCAGTTTTCGTTGAAATTGATGCATTCAACGTAGAAGAGAGAATGTATATATCCTATTTGTTTGATAATCACAAAATTTTAAGTTCAATTCTTATTAAAAATGGTTTATTATTATTATTTTTTTTATAATTTGAATTGATTAATTATATGAACAATGTACCCCAGCTACAAAAGTTGCAAGGTGAGTTGATTTAACTTTCATTGACTTTATTTATTTATTTGCATCAGAGATATTGACATTCCCTATTTTAACTAATTTGACTTTATTTATTTATTTGCATATGACATTCCATATTTCAACTCATTTAAATTCAGCTTGAATCACATATTCAAAATTAGAGTTAATTTTATTTTGATCCAAGATTTATAAATGAATAGAGTTAATTTTATTTTGATCCAAGATTTATAGATGACAGTTCATTTTTAGTTATGTTTTATTAGAAAATTCTCATTTAGTCTTATTATTATTAGGCGTGATTATTTTTAGTCTTCCTCCAACAAAATCGCGTTGAAATGTCGTAAAACATAAAGACATTTCAATCTTTTTTTACACAAAGCTAAGTAGGTAGGTTGAACCGATATATTTTTTATGTTTATTTTTGAAAAAATCTATAGTTAAAGACCTAAATGCCTTTATATTTGACTATATTTAAATGTTTTGTTGACAAATGACCAAAAATATATGGTTCTGTCACAAATCACAATAATACTAGGATCAAAAGTGGATGTTCTAATAAAAAAAGAATTTAAAAGTGGATTGTTACCAATAAATCTAGGACTAAAAATAGAATTAACTCTTCAAAATTATTTTCCATTAATTCGTCATTCCAAATTAGTAAATCAAGAAAAACGAAATGAAAAAAAGGTGAAAGCAGTGTTACTATACGTTGCTTGTACAACATCTTTTATTAAGTATGATTTGTGTGATGAAATGTTCAAAAACAAAAAAGTATACATTCCAAATATGAGAAAGAGTGATCTCATATACAGATACAAGTTCAAGAAAAAAAAAAAAAGACATAATATCCAAACAAACCAAACCGTCGCAATAATCGTCATTTTCCTTTAATTTGCAGGTTGGTTCAACATTTGTGAACCATATATGCATGAAATTAAATTCGCCATTGACGAATAGCTTTGAATTGGATCAGTAGAGAGGGCAAAGCAGGCGGGGAGTGGGGACGGCGACGAGTCGATCGGCGAGTGGCGCAGTGAGTCCGAAGACGTCGTCCATGTTAAGCTCGCTGGGTTTCATCCCGTCCGGCAATTCCCAGGTGAAACAGTGGAGAAGATGAGCCACCGCCATTTCAAAGGCGTAGAGCCCGAGTTGCATTCCCGGGCACGACCGTCGGCCCGACCCGAACGGGATGAACTCGAAGTTGTTCCCTTTGAAATCCGCCACGCCGTCTCTCAGGAACCTGTCGGGCTTGAAACTCTCCGCGTCTTCCCACGACTTCTTGTCGCGTCCGATGGCCCACGCGTTGATCACCACTCGGGACCTCGCCGGAATGTGGTAGCCGTTGACCTCGCAGGCCGTCGCCGTCTCGTGGAGGAGGAGCGGGATGGGTGGGTGTAGCCGGAGAGTCTCCTTAATGCAGCATTTGAAGTACGTCAGCTTCTCGAAGTCGGATTCTTCCACTTTCCGGTCAAGTCCGACGACGGTGGCTAGCTCCTGTTGAACCTTCTTCAGGGTATCCGGCGTTTTCATCAACTCCGCCATGGCCCACTCTATCGCAGATGCCACTGTTTCTGTGCCCCCAAACATCACATCCTGAAAATATCCAAATTATTTTTTCACTTAACCGAATCAGACACATAAAATGAGACAGACAGAGTATAAATTTTCTACCTTAACCTTATATATTATTATTATTTATCAACAAGGGTAACAACCATATTGTTGGACTCTACATCGGAATTGTCTATGAGTGCTCTGTCGGGCCGGGTGTGGGGGGCCTTTAAACATGGGAGGAGAATAGAATCTAATTTACCCGCACGGACCTAGCTCAATGATTCAGTGAACAGTATTTAGGAGAAGAGACCAAGGTTTGAACCTTGGTGGAGGCAGTGTTAGAATTAGTCCAAAGTGGGCAGATTACTTATGCGCACCGGCATTTGGTCTTTTGGTCTTGTCCGTTGAACCATTGAACCGTGATTTACATCCTCCCAAATGCTCTATTGGGTTGGGAGAAGAATAGAATCTAAGTTTTTGTGGAGAAGTGTGAGAACACTTATGTTCAAAGTGGACAGAATCTTTATATGCATCCATATTTGACTCTGTCTGCTGAGCCATTAAGTTACTGTGATTTATATCTTTCATGTAAAGACAAAATGTGTGGGATCCTTGTGATTAGAGATTCAACATTTTGAAAGAAGAAGAATAGAATCTAATGATCAATGATCCTTAGCATGCCACATATACATGGCATGTTCCACCAGGGGCAATAAAGATATATGTCCCACACAACCAAATTAAAGAAAAAATCATAACCCATATCATTTACTCGATAACTTATTAGGAAAGATTGAATTTTTGTTGGTCCCGAACTTACTTTTAATAATTTCCATCCATAAAATTTTGTCCATGTGTACTATCGTTTTCAATATGAGATGAGTTAATAATTACCTTTTCAACATTTGATGATTTAATTCAATCACCAAGTGCTGCTGTACGTGCAGATAGTGGTTGTAGATATTTGCTACTTAAAATTGAGATAAAATCACACAAGTTATGCAGTTATGCAAAGACTCGAATAGATCGCTTCCGCTGAAAGTCAAACTTGTAACATTCTGGTTACTATAAGTCTATAGTCTGATCTAACTCGTCTATTTTATAGAAATAATATATTACTAATCAATCAAGATTTTATTTATTAAAATGAATAAAAATAAAAATAATTGTATATACCTCACCCCTCAATATTGTCACTACTCAAAAAGATCTATCCACCGTACCTTGCAGGTTGGTTCTAAAAGTTATTACTTGTGGGTTTAAACAAAAAATGTTTGTCCCTACCCAGATACATTAAAGAACAATTTGAAATATAAGTTAGTGATAAACTATTCTTCTTGACCAATAAACTTAAATTTAAAATATATCATCCCGATCTCCCGAAAATTTACTGTTGGCTATACCGTATACTAAACATACACCTACCTTTAATATTATATATATATATATATATATATATATATATATATATATATATTATAATTTTATAAACTTTTTAAAAAATCAGCAATCACTACTCATAAGGCCATAAGTGTGTTATGGATGAAGTTCATCTCGTGACTCTAGTCGACAAAAGATCACAATAAATAGAGATACATAACTGAATAAAAATGATAATTATACTCTTTTTGAGTAAAATGAAATTAGAATATGTAAGTATGCACTGGCACCTGCTCAGTTGGTTTTTAGGTGGTAAATTGCAGGGAAAAAAATGTAAGTATGCGCGTGTAAAAAACGGAGTAAAAGTAAGTGTGTTGTGTGCATGAAATATTATTGTACGGAGAAATATAATGAGGCCGGGCTTCGGGTCATACCATGATGAGGGCTTTGATATTATCCCTGGTGAGTTTAATGGCGTTCTGGAGGTCGTCTGCGTCATTATGGTTCGCGTCCTCACTGTAAAAAGCTAACAGCTCATCCACCATATCGCCGTCGGCGTTATCGCCGGAGTTTTCTGGGCTTTTATTCTTTCTGCTTTGTATGTGATCGTCGATGATGGTGTCGATAAAGTGGTCGAGCATAGCCCGGGCCTTAGCGAGCCTCGGGTTCAGGCGCTGCGGATCGGCCCATTTAAGCCAAGGGAAAAAGTCGGACATGTTGAAGGCGCCAAAGAGCTTGGAGAATTCTTGGAGAATACTAATGAAATCGTCTTGTCCTTCTTTCGAGTTGGACCCGAAGGCGGCCCGGTAAATGATGTTCTTGGTGAGCCCGAACACCAGCTCGCCGACGTTAACCGGCGAGCCGGTGCTGGTGGCCGCGATTCGGACCATTTGATCAACCTCGTCTCGGACCGAGTCCCACGACTCGGCCCGTCTGCGGCTGAACAGCTTCATCACGCAAACCTTCCGCATCTGGCGCCAAAACGGGCCGTAGTGGGCGAAAGCCATGTCGGCCCGATCATATGTCAAGTAGCTGATAGCGATACTGGCCGGACGATTCGAAAACACGTGGTCTTGTACTTGGAGGACTTGACGGGCCTCCTCTGGGCCCGACACCACAACCATGTGGAGCGAGCCCATCCGTGAGTGTACCAAACCGCCGTATTGCTCCGCCAGCTTGGCCAGCCCACGGTGTGAATAGTGCTCCATCAAATTCATGTACCCAATCAACGGCCACCCTTTCGGGCCGGGCGGATAGGGTTTCCGGCGAAACCAGCTCGAAAGCAGAAACAGGAACAAGAAAGGGACGATGAAGTATAATATCATGGATTGATGACCCTCTAAAGCTTGTACTAGAGAATCCATAGAATCTTTCCTTCTATGTTCAAACACTTGCAATAAAAATTAAAAAAAAAAATCTTATGTTATATTTTCTGGGAAATCTGGTATTATGAGTGAATGGCAACCAAGAATGTTGCTGGTTGTGATAGATGAGAGAGGGTTCTTTATATACTAAGCTTTCAAGACCCAACTAACCATTTTGGAGTATTTAATTAATAATTTACTACCAAACATATTTTTCTCTTATATTTACGTAACAATTAACGTATTTTTCGATAGTAGGATATTCGATCAAACTCTCAAAGTTATTATCCAACAATAGGGAATATGAAATTATAGTTAATGCAATAAAAGCCTCCTTATATTATTTTCTCAATGTGGGACAAAGAATAATAAAGCAAAATCATGTACGATTTCTGACAAATTAAACAATCTTCACATTACCAACATTTATCAATAAAATTAAATAATTGAGTTACATTTTTCATCATCTGGAACAAAAAAAAAAAGGGACTATATATTCAAAGGAGAGTATATATAACTTCTATTTATATCTTGATGCTTTGACTTTGTTTGGAAATTAGTGGTAAGCGATTAGCATATTATGTTAGCGGTTAGCAAATAGCGAATTGTGTTACTGAGTTTGACTAACGAATTGACTGTGTTAGCAATTTGTAAAAAGATATTTAATAAAATTAATTATTTAGATTAGCAGTTAACATGTAAAATGACCTAAAGAATATACATAATAATAATAATAATAATAATAATAATAATAATTATTATTATTATTATTATTATTATTATTAATGTATAAAATTTTTAAAATAAAAATAGAGAGGGAGCCACATCAGCTCCCCTTTGTCTCCCCACTTATTCCACATCGGTAGGAAAAGTAGGGAATAGAGCCTTGAGACTCCTAAATGCTGCATATGTTTAATTGTTTTTTTTTTTTTTTTTGAGCAGAATAATTTATATTTATAGTAAAATTGGATAATACATTATAAGTTATCACACTTCGCACTTAAAATATTCCATTATATGCAATAGATTATTCTTCCCAAACATATGCAATAGATTATTTTTAGTAGGAACGGATGCACTTACATTCCATTATCTGTTATTGCTGATTCATAATGACGCAATTCAAGTATATGACTGCCTAAGCAAATTTTTTGGAGCTTACATACTAGACGTTTGGTTGGAGGGGCGGAATTATGTGGGAAAGGAATTGTAATTCCATGAGAGTTGAATTATTGGGAATAAAGTGGGAATTTAAATTCCAGTATTTGGTTGACAAGAATAGAATTACTGGGAATTTCAATTCCAATGTTTGGTATATATGGGAATTGAAAGGGAATAAGTAGTATAAAGTCAAAAATGTCCATTATTGTTGTTAGACATTAATTTTAGGTTAAAAAATGAATGGGTAATTTTGACTCATCACTATCTTTTTTTCTCAGGAATTAAAATATCAGGGGGGACATGGGATTTTAATTCCATGAAAATGGGGGAATTGCAATTCCCTCCAACCAAACTACGGAATTTAGTGGCATTTGGAATTAGATAGGAATTAAGTGGGAAGGAAATTTAAAATCCCTCCAACCAAACGCCCTGTAAAGTGAGAATATAAGTGAATATGTAAACAAGTATGAGTACATACAATCTAACTTTGTCCCAAACATATTTGGATGAGAATGGAGATCTTAGAGCAGATTGTATGCACTCATATTTATTTGTACGTTCTCACCAAAATAAGTGTTCTCATTTGAATATATATATATATATATATATATATATATATATAATAATAATAATAATAATAATAATAATAATAATCTAAACATGAAACAGTATACAATTACTTTATATTCGAACTAGACAATTTTCTAGTTAGATTTTTTTTCCCTTTCTCCCATATAGATTGGGAGAAGTTTAAGCACCCTAAACCTCAATCATTATTACATGGATCTTGTGGACCACGATCCAAAAACACGTAAAATACATTATTTTAACTTATAAAATATATTAATTTAACACATAAAGTACATTATATATTATTCTAACTCATAAAATACATTATTTTAACACATAATGTACGTTATTCTAACTCATAAAATACAATATCTTACCTAATAAATTTTATTATTTTAACATATAAAACACATTATTCTAACTCATAAAATACATTATTTTACCCAAACATACAATAGTTTGCCCCTAAACCTTAGGTCAGCTTCTCCAGTGCAACTGTGCGGGTACCTCGACCCACTCTAGACTGTTTTGACGTCCCCATTGAGCTATCACCATTGCCTTGGGTTAGCTTATAACCCAAATTCATGATTTTAGAATATCTGTATTTAAAAAAAAAAAAAAAAGTGTCCTCTTAATATTTATTTGTAGTTTGTATTTTGTAATCAAGGCACCTATTCTTTTTCTTCGTACATTATCTCTATTTATTTTGTAATTGCGCTACGAAATACAACTTAAACCAGTTTCCATCTATTTTAATGTCTTACTATACGCATCCTCACAATCACTTCACAATGCTCTATTTGATAACATAGTTATTAGCTTATAAGTTAATTTTGATTTATTTAATAGTGTTTGATTTATTTAATCACTATTAACTGTTTAACTATAAGTGTTTGATTAATTAACTTTTTTGTAACAACTTATTGTTCCAAAACGTTAAAATTCAAAAAAGTTGTTCAATGGTATCCGGGTTGGACTTCTATTTGGAAGGTTGTGATTTCGAGCCTCAGTGGAGGCGTTATTAGCTCTTTGTGTTTCAGTAGGTTGAGAAAGTATATGAACAGATACTACAATGTAATAGAGCTAGTAGCATTCAAAAAAAAAAAAAAAATTATCAAACACTCCCAATATATTTAACGTGCAATATAAGAAATTTAAAAAAATCCAAAAAAATAAAAATAAAAATCCTATAATGGGCAAACACTTGTCGCATAAAAAACCGGCATCATAACAACCTTAATTGCCATGATGAGGAAAATAATTTGATGGAAATTAAACGTCGCCATTGATGATACTTCTTTCCTTACTAATGAATTAGATTAGACTCCAGAACCATGGAAAGCATCACCTCACCTTGCAACTCATGAAAATAATCCTGAAAATATGTTATTTACACCCTAAAAAAAGAAAAAAAATTAAATCTTGATACCAAGATTAGTGAACCCTAATATATTGTCATACAATGAATTATTTGATGGTTTTTTTTTCCATGCGTGAATTTTTTCATAAACAAGTGACGAATTGATGATGAGTAGATATTTTGTCCTGCTTGGCGCTTTGTAAGAAATTAATGGCATATAGTTTGGTGCATTATGCCTTTCATATTTTCACACAAAGCATTTAGAAAATCAGACCGTTTGCTTGATTATTTTAGCCACCCCAGAAAATATTGATGAGATATGATAAAACTTGCAATAATCAACATTAATTATATTGAAATTTTGGACGTAAGACGGAGTTAATAATTAAGGTTTAGAGAGCGGCATATCAACTTGCGAAAATGTCATTTGATCTTGTGATTTGTGAACATCGCTATCGGATCGGAGGCTCTGGAGCAAGTAATTTCAACCAGAGTAATCAGAAGCCCGCGGATAAGAACATTGAAAATTTCTACCACCACCACCAATATTTCGAAGCAGACAAATCGATGGTTGCGGTCAAAATTACCAACTATATTCAATTATTTATATATATATATATATATATATATATATATATATATATATATATATATATATAAAATTAGTTAGTTAGTTGCGTTCAAACAAGAACCAGTCTTCCCATGCAAACTGCAAACTTTTGAAGGAATGCAACGTAAGTAATACTACATGAATGCATAACAACTACTCTCAAGCATGCTTGGAGGATGAGCGTAGATGTCTGCGGTGCTGCCGGTGCATTCTAGTAATTTCAGTGCAATTATATAGTAGTTTCGATGCATTAATGTAGTAGGTGCATTGCATTCATATTGGAGTTAATACCCGATATAGTCCTCAACTATAGTGGTTTTTACTCAATTTAGTCCTAAGTGATTTTTTGTGCTCAATTTAGTCCTCGACTTTGATGGTTTTACACAATTTAGTCATTTGCTAAAAATTCTGCTAGTTGACGGTTAAAAATAGGGTTCTAAAAGTAATTTCTCATCCTTCATCCCATTTGGGATGATTCATTCTTCTTCTCCTTATTAAAATCTACGCAAAAATACAAATCTTTGTACACAAATCAACTTCAACCCCATAAGGAATGAAGGTTAGGCAAATATTTATTTCTACGTGGGTTGAAGTTGATTTGGGTACGGAGATTTGAAATTTCTGTGTGGATCTTAATAAGGGGACGAAGAAGGAATCATCCCAAATGGGATGAAGGATGATAAATTACAATTAGGACCCTATTTCTAATAGTCAGGTACAGAATTTTTAACAAAGGACTAAATTGTGTAAAATCATTAAAGTCGATGACTAAATTGAGTACAAAAAGTCATTTAGGACTAAATTGAGTAAAACCAGTATACTCGAGGACTATATTGGATATTAACTCATTCATATTGTATGTAGACATGTAGTCGCGGAATTAGAGTAGTTGTCGTGCATTCATGTACTAGTAATACTTACGGTGCATGAGTTCACCCTTTCCTATGAGTCTGTGTGGACAGATCTAGTCCATTAAAAGCTATAGATAAATGGTTTAAATTTCCTCAACTATACAACTGTGCACTTCACTAAACCAAAAAATAATAATAATAATAATAATAATAATAATAAATAAAAAATCTAAAACTTTGATATCTAACTTTTAATTAATGGATCAGATTTGTCCACAGACTTAGAAAAGAGTGGACTCACTTAAACAATGACAAATATATATATATATATATATATATATATATATATATATATATATATATACACACACACACGCACACACAAACTTGACTTGACTTGCAAGGATTTACACCCATACTTAAATCATTTAATTTACAAAGTACATAAATAAAGAGTTGAAAGCGAATGGCCAGCTTGCGGACACATAATTAGGATTTAGGAGAGAGACTTGCAATATAATATTATTTAAAAACAAATATTAATATCTATATTTCCCTCTTAATTTT